AGTATGTCAAAATATTTAATATAAGATATTTCTCTTGAAAATATCTACTTATGTCAGTATATATTTATTGTTTTAAATTCATATATTTGGTACATATTAAGTTATATTTGGAAAACTAGTCATAGGATCTAATTTTACCAAAAAGAATTTTGAACGAGTACATCGAGTACTATACGATATCAAATATTGAGAGACTTTGATGGTGATATTTTTTTTCTCGGTATTTTAGCTATTTCTGTTCGGTGGAAATACTTACTTTGACCAAAAAAGATCTGCCGAGTCATTAATCACCCTGTAAGGGACAATATTTTAATTAAAGTGGTTAAGTATGTATTTTGACTATACAGAATGAGCAAATAACTTCCAAATATATTTAAGGGTGATTTATGGTGTCCATTTTAAAGAATTAGGGATTTCTAACTTCAACACCCTGTATCTCAAAATCTAGTCATAGGATACGATTCGGCCCATTGACACTTTTGATGGGGACATCAAGTAATTTAACATATACAAAATTCAGACATTTTGACGGTACTCCCGTTTGCATAAGAAAAGTGCGTCGTCCTTTATTAGTTTGAAAATAGTGACCAAACAAAGACTTCAATATCAAATTTATAATAAATAAGAATTTAACTTTGATACTCTCTAACTTTAACAGCTGTTAAAATTTAATGTAGTAATATTTTGATTTACGATTTTTAATCTTAGCTCTTTTGTTTTTAAGTGTTCTGATTAAATAATTGCAACATTCACTGCACTCTGACGGTGCGAGGTTATCGGAATTTACTATTAGAACACTTAGCAGAGATATACAATATGGAATTTCTGTTTAAATTTATTGTATTTGGTTTATCCACAACCATAAAAAAATAGCGTTATTTGTTGTTGTTTTTTTTTTTTTCATTACATTCGTTAAGAGGAATTGCAAAAGTATTTTTGACTTTGGAAAGAACTGCATCAAAAATAAGAAAAATTGCGCGCATTACCTATTAATGTAATAATTTTAATCTAATAATAAATACATTCATGTAAAGTTTAAAAAGAAGTTGTTTTGACATTTTATAAGTTGGCTCAAAGGCCGCAGAAAATCTCGTACAGGTACGTGATTCAAGATATTTAAAGTCAAAGGTCGCAAAAATTAGTTTTTTTGTAAATATTTCGTTTCCTATGCTCTAAATAATATTTGGATTCGATAAAAAAGTCGTAGAGCAAAAAATTCTCTACAACTTTTGTTTTAAACAATATTTTATACGTTTGACCGTTCTTGAGTTAGAGCGTGAAAAGTGGTTGGCGCTAAGTTCAATTGGGAATTGGTCCAGAAAAGTTCACTCATACTGTTATTGTCGCTGATATCGAAGAAGATGTTATACTTGGAATGGATGTAATGAACTTACATGGTTTCCAGTTAGATTTTAAGAACAGAGTGATCAAAGTTGGTGCCGAAGAGGTATTCCTACATCCATATGGGGACAGTACCGTGCCAGTTGCTGTACAGGAGGATACAGTGGTGCCTGACAGAAGTGAAACCGTTATAGTAGCACGGCTTCAAGAAACTATGGAAGAAGGAACACCTGTAATGATGGAACCTTGGAATCACGATGAAGAGGTTGGACGAGGAATTCTGATTGGAAAGGGGTTGGTCACGACTGCTTAAGAGATTCCAGAGATTCCATCACGAAAGAGACCAGAATCGGAACTTGTGTACCAGTAACTTCCATAATTCGTCAGACAACGACTTCCGATAATTCCAATGACAAATTTGAACAAATATTTGCAGTTGCTGGAGAATATCTGAATCAAATAAAAAAAAAGAAATTAAGGAAATTTTTTCGACGATATCGAGACATTTTTGTACCAAAATAAGGAAAAACAGGAAGAACTTATGTTGTAAAACACAAAATTGACACTGGTGATGCCAGGCCCATTCATCAATCAGCTCGAAGATTACCAAAGACCAAGAGAGATGAATCTAAAAGGATTGTTCAGGAAATAAAGCAAGATAGGGTGACAGAACCTTCCACCAGCCCATGGGTCTCTCCGGCAGTCCTGATCCAGAAAAAGGATTGAAATACGAGGTTCTGTGTGGATTATCGTCAATTGAATAATGTTAACAAGAAAGGCAGTTACCCTCTGCCTCCTATTGACGATATCTTGGACACATTGGCCGGAAGTAAACTATTCTCTACCTTAGACTTGAAGTATAGACACTGGCAAGTGGAAATGGACCCAGTAGACAAAGAAAAGACAGCTTTTTTAACTGAATCTGGATTGTGGCAATTTAATGTTATGTCATTTGAATTATGCGACATTTGAGAGACTTATGAAAAACGTATTGAGACGGTTATCCTGGAAAACATTCCTGGTGTATTTAGATGACATTATAGTCTTAAGGAAGACATTTGATGAACATCTAAAGAACTTAGAAGATGTTTTTAAAAGACTTCAAGCTGCCGAACTGATGCTAAACCCCAAGATAAAGTCAATTACCTGGGTCATATAGTCAGCAAGGATAACGTGACTGTAGATAAAGAAAAAGTCGCTGGTTAACAATGAATGGGCCCTTGCTAAAATTAGGGAAGAACAAGAGAACGATACCGTTCTAAAGAAGATGCGACAATGGAAAGAGGAAAATCGTCGACCTGCTTGGCAAGAAGTATCTAATCTTAAGTACTTAAGCCGTATTTGGCTCAGTGGGACTCCTTTATCCTGGAAGATGGCTTATTAAAGCGAGCAGTTGAAAATGATGATGGTTCCGAGAACAAAAGACAGTTGGACATTCCAAGAAGTAGAGTAGCTGAAGTACTTCGTCAGTTACACGACAGTGCATCAGGGTATCTATTCTTGAATCTCAGGGAGTAGAAATTTTGAGGGAAGAATGAGACGGTTTTCTATTCCCTTGATTTCAAGAATAGCTACCCAGAAGGACATCTCGGTGTTAAGAAAACCCTTCAGAGAGTTCGGGAAAGGTTTTACTAGAGGAATAGTTCCGATGATGTAAAGGACTGGTGTAAGAAATGTACTACCTGTGCTATGAGTAATGGACCTCAACGAAAAAGGAAGGCTTCCATGAAGCAATACAACGTTGGTAGCCCCTTTGTGAGGATCGCCTTAGATATTGCTGGACCATTCCCCGCAACCGAGGATAGTAATAAATACATTTTGGTGGTTATGGATTATTTTACAAAGTGGGTAAAAGTCTATGTGACAGACTAGGCATAAATAAAACCAGAACCACAGCATTGCACCCACAATTCGATGGAATGGTAGAGCGAATGAATAAGACCATTGGAAAATATCCGTCAAAAGTGGTTTTAAACCATAAGCGAGATTGGAGTCAGTATCTTTCGCTCTTTGTAGTGGCTTATAGATCCGCTGTCAATGAATCAACAGGCCAAACACAAGCAAAGGTCTTGTTTGGGCATGAAATGAGACTACCGTGCGACCTCGAGTTTGGATGCCGACCTGGAGAAGATGTAGCTGGTGAAGATTATGTGATCCAGTTACAAAGAAGAATAGACGATATGCATGAATTAATTCGCTCGCATCTTCAAATCGCCAGCGACAAAATGAAGAAGCGATACGATACCCAAGCCACAGAAGGATGTTCAAAGAAGGCGACAAAGTCTGGCTCCATAATTCAAAAAGACAAAACGGTTATTCTCCGAAGCTTCAAAGGTCTTGGGAAGGTCCGTACCTCATCAAGAATAAAATTATTGATGTAATTTACCCGTATAAGTAAGATCCCTAACGGTAAACCAAAGGTAGTGCATCAAAACAGGCTGGCGCTATTTGAGGGTGATCATGAAGAAGAAGTAAACCAACTTCAAGAAACACCTGACCTTGTCTTTGAAGAATTTATGGGTGCATATGGACATATGGAGGTACTGGAAAAGCCAGATATGGTGTTACGACCGAGCAACAACAAGATCTGCTCTCGCTTCCGAAAGACTATGGCGAAGGTGCTTTCTAGTATATTCCAGATTAATTTGGCGGAGGAGCATTCTGAATTTAAAATTTGTATACAACTATTGGTGGAGGAAAAACGCAGCAGTCAGTTTTAGATAAACAGTGGTGAATATAAATAGTAAACAGTTTAAAGAAATTCGAAATATACAGGGTGTTTCCGAACTTGGTGTCCAAATTTGTAGGGGTGGTAGTTCGCATAATTTAAGACCGATTCGCAGATTTCATTTTTCCAAAATATTTAAAATAAAAATAATTAAAAATTATGAACAGGTACGGTCCTGCACAGCGATAGGAGTGCCTCGACTCGCGCACGCTACGCTTAGAATCGACAAAATTGCAAATCGCTTCTGTTTTTGAGGACTATTGCGCTACGCGCTCAGGGTAGGACCTGCTCTTTGATTTTTTTATCATGGCTCTATTTTGTTTATTAAAAATTAAAAAAAAAAATGAAATCTGCCAATCGCTCTCAAATTATGCGAACTACCACCCCTATAAATTTGGACGCCAAGTTCGGAAACACCCTGTATATAAATTAGAATAGTATTATTTAAAATAAATAAGTGTTTAAATAAATTATTATTAAACAAACTGTTGTTTAAAATGAACAAACATTACAATGATAAATTTCTCTAGTTCAAAGATTTTAAATGATAAAACTGAAATGTCAGAGTGCTTTATTTACAGAAAAACTGGACGTCATATACATACAAAAATTGTTATTTTAAGGCAGTAATAAATAAATAAAATTTAAAAACAACAAGCAATAAAATATTGTTATTGTAAAAAAAAGAATAATAATCGGGTTAATTTCGGTTATGCTGAACTAAATACGTTTTAATTGAAGATTAAAATTTTAATGAAAGACATATAATAACGGTTTGTCGTGCTACGCATACTATTTATTTACTGCGCTTTAGATCAATTAAATCAGACCCTCTTAAGGATAGGAAAATCCAACATTTATTAAAAAAACCTTTTATTGAGCTGTTTAAGTCTATATAAAGTTCAAATATTTTATTTCATCACAATCAAAACACAATTAAAATGAAGTTCACATATTGCATTGTGCTGTTTACTTTTTTGGGTAAGTACTGTCGTAGTTGTCTCAATTTCATTCCACTACATACATTACTAAAACAGTGTTCTGTATCGAATCCAATAATATTATTATTTTTTTTATAACGTCCATCCAAATTTTATTTTATGCCTGTAAACATCAAGATGGCTTAGATCCCGAAAACTGGTGGTGTTATGCATTTTTTTATAAAAAAACTACATACCTACTTAGTTGATTATTGACCGATTATGCCTATACAGTCTGAAAATATAATTAATATCATTAGTTAAAATTAATAATACCTCAATTTTCATTTGAATGTGACGTTGAATTTCACCACACATATTTGGAAATGGTAAACACGTAACAATGTTTGATCAAGGAAACTTTAAGGAAGTTTTTATATAGAATTTATTAAAATTATTATGTTTGGTTAATGGAAAACTAATTATTTCTTAATAGTTTAATAAATACTTCGTAAATTGCTGCAATATCGAAATATCTTTATAACAACAATAACATTAGCACTTAGGTTCTACACTGTAAAAATAAACGTTTCATTTTAGCTTAAAATATTTAATATTTCAAAATAATTATATTAAAATATACTTTTAATAATGCAAAATATTTCATTTCAAAAGTTGAAAAACAATAAATTTTATTCATTGTAATTCATATGAATGCTTACCTGATTTAGGGCCGGTACTTTCAAATCTATTTAAACATGATTAACTTAATTGAACAGTAGAGTACTATTGTGTTATGAGGAAAATAATAAAATTACCAACATTAATAATTTTTGTCAATAAAATAAATACACTGGCGAGCAAAAAATTGAGGTCACTTCAGAAATTGCGAATAATTTTAGCGTCAATATTGATAAGAACATAATATTATTAGAAAAAAATGCATTTCTGTTTAGTATAGAGCAGTAGTCGCCAACCTCTCAATGTGTTGAGCTACTTTGTTAATTTTGGAATAAACAGCGAGCTACCCACACGGAAGCCACCACGTAACGCAACGTAAATGAAATAATCCACAGTTAATTTATCATTATATGTATTTATTTTACTATTTAACTGGTAATACATAATACATAGGTACTAATAATAAACTAATAACAAAATAACTAATATTACTAGTACGTACTTGTTCATAGCTACATTCCTACCTACCAAACGAAGGTGTTTGAAAAATAAACACAAACTTTTATCCAGCCACAACGGCATGTCACGTAAGATTTAAAAATAGTTAATATTAACAACAAAAAAGTAACGCACTATCATGAACTTAAACATTGAAAAATAAAAAAGCACGTTCAATGAGAAGGCTGACACTCAGACTCATCGATAATTTTTTTAATGTTTGCAGTATAATTTGATACAGCCATTCGAATACAATTATCCAAATGTTCATCTGTAAGTCGATTGCGATATTTGTTCTTAATAAACTTCATATTGGAAAAAGAAGATTCACACAAATAGGTTGAACTGAATAATGCTTTCACTTTCAAGGCAACACGGCATAGAACTGAATATTTGTCTTTACTTACAATAGGCAGATACATTTGGTACTTGAGACTAACGATTTTAAGGCTAAATCATTTTGAAACTCAATTACTTCCATTTCTGTTGCAGCGATGTCTTCGCCAAAGTTCTGCATAACACAAGTTGCAAACTGTTGGATATCAATTTCCATAAAGGGTGAAACAACAAACTGCGCTACTAAAGCCATTTCGTTGAAATCCTTAAAACGATTTTTAAAGTTATTCTTCAGGGTAGAAACTATTTCTACATATTTGCTGTCATAGGGTTCTAATGGATTTTGAGATATTTTTTCTGAAAGAATAGGGAAATGCTTGGCATCGCTGTTAATTAGGTTTTGTTCCCAAAACTCAAGCTTTTTGATAAATGCTTTTATATCAGAAATCATTTCCGCTAGTTCTTTGTCTCTCCCCTGAAGCTGCAAATTAAGTTCCTTTAATTTCTCTGTAATGTCCACGAGAAAACCAAAATCTCTAAGCCAGATTGAATTTTCTAGTTCCGGAGTCGGTTCATCGCGTTGTTTCAAAAATTGAACTATGCCAGATAGGACATCATTAAAACGTTTCAGCACCCGTCCTATACTTAACCATCCGACTTCAGAGTGAAGGAGTAGGTCCCCGTATTGAAAGTCAACTTCATCGGCCAAGGTTTTGAATAATCTTCTTTGTAACGCTTGAGCTCTAATCTTGTTCACAATTTTTACCACCAGTTTCATAACGTTGTTTAGTTTCAGGAAATTTCCATATAATGCTTGCTGATGGATAATGCAGTGGTAACAGAGAAATTGCGGAAAAGTTTCATCTTTACGACATAACGCCACCAGACTCTTATCACAACCGACCAGAGCTGGAGCGCCATCGGTTGTCAAGCCTACCATTTTCTATATTAAAATTTTCTCGGAGAAAATAATATTTTTTAAATGAGAAAATAATTCCTGTCCAGTAGTGTGTCGTTTCAATGGAATAAACTTCAAGATCTTCTTTAATCGTAAGATCACTAAAAACCATCCTGACGAACACAGCCATCTGGGCAGTGTCAACGACATCTGTTGATTCATCCAGTTGAAGTGAAAAATAAAAGTCAGTTCTTAACTGTAAAAAAATATCATTGTTCATTACTTCTACACGTCTCATCACTGTATTAGCAGAAAGTTGCATAGATTTTATAGCTGAAACTATCTCGTCTTTATTTCTAAAGTTGGCAAATAACGAATCAGCAGCTTCTAAAAACGCCTGTTTTATCATTTCCCCGTCTTAATAAGGTTTCTTTTTTTTGTGCAATTATCTGGGACACACGGTACGATGCTTCAGTTGCAGCCTTATTTTTGTCGACTGTTCTTAAAAATATTGATTTTTGTCCAATTAACTGCTTTTTTAACTGTTTCAGTTTCTCCTTTCTGGCGGAAGAATGTAGTGGGAATGATTTTTCAAAATTAGAGTGTACAGTTGTTCTATGATGTCTCTCAATATTTCCTTTTTTAGCAACGAAGACCGAAGTATTACATAACAAACACACATTTTTATCTTTAACTTCTGTGAAAAAGTATTGTTCTTCCCATTCCGAATGAAAGTGGTATGTCTTTACCTTCTTACAACTGCTTGCCATAATATTATTTTTTGTTGTTCTCTAGTAACTCAACCGCTGGGCGTTGGTTACGCGTTTAGTTTTAAACTAAGCGCAATGTCGCCGCGCCATAGATAAATTAATATGTAAGATAAATCGTTTACATGCACGGCACTGGTAACACGTTTAGTTCCTCAGCATACTATTTGGAGCCACCATCGCACATTAGACAATTGGCTTGACAGTTAAAGGCAGCACAGGAGAAGAAGAAAATAAAAAGAAGAGTGACTCTTTTTCCCGCGGTTCATTCAAATGTACTTTATTATTTATTTACATTTTTCTCGGAATTCATTACTCAAAGAAACTAATATTTAAATTAAAATATTGTATTTAACATAAATATTAGTTTTTTAAAGTAATAAAACTCCAAAAAATATAAATAAAGAAATATTTATACTAAAATACTTGAAACATAAACATTTAAACTAAATGTTGTGGCTTGTTATTGTTTACATTTTTGAGTTTGTAAACAAACAGCCCATAAAAAGGTATAGTTTAATCATTTAATACAAGTAAGGTGCATTTAAACGTTTACTACATACATAACATGTACTCGATATTACATAACAATAATTGTAAGTGAAATTAATAGTAGTCTCCTCTCATTCTTGGAAAATGGACCACTTTTCGATGCAGGTGTTAGGTGTTTTTTCAGGGCGTTTTCTATAAAAACAAAAAAAAGTGTACATACCTTATTGAACAATTTTTCTTATCAAAATGTTGCCAATTCTTATAAGTACAAGTTAATTTTAATTAGTTTATAAACAAAAATTATTTCTCATAGTTCAATAGTTAATTTGAATTTTATTTTAACTGTAAAACAAATCTGTTCTAGTTGATATAACAAATTAAGAGTTTAAAAATTACTTTTCATTTTTGACAGACAACAAAAGGATATCCTTTAAATTCTGTAATAATCATTAAAGTTCGCAAGCCCTCTCACTAAGGCAAGGTTTTAATTTAAGAGGAGGAAAAAGTAAAACTTATTGACTATTAATTATATTGAAATTTATAAAAATACTAGTTAATTTAACAATCAAATTATTTAGTATAGGTTTACTGCAATTTGGAAAAATGTAGCTTAATTGATTAATCTCTTCAACAAACAAAATTGTTATAAATAAAAAATTAAGAATTTGTTAGTACTTGCCAACTTTAGCCAGTAAATGAAGAGCAGCAACTCCGAGGTTTGAAAAAATCTTCTTTCGAGAATTTGCTATTTGTTTACTGTTGCCCGCATCCCACCACGAGGAGGTAAAGTAGTGGACTAACACACTGAGGATGCTTTTTTATTTTATTCTGAAAAAAATCACAACTAACAAACAGTACGATCTCTACATACATAAAAAAAAATTGATTATAAATAAATAAGTAAATAAATAAATAAATAAATTGGTGATCAAATGTAGAGATAGTATTTGTTATAAATAAAATTAAAATAAATAGAACACAAAAACTCATCAGGAACATTCTGAAACAGAAAAATAGATTAGATTTTTTTTCTTTTTCATTTGTATTTTTCATTTTTTTTTGTATTTTTGTAGTTTTTCATTTTTTTTTTTGTATTTTTCTGTTTTTTTTTTGTATTTTTAGTTTTTCAATTTTTTTTTGCGATGCCTTTCCAGAACAAATAAAATAAAAATAAATTCTATAAAAAAATAAATAAAATCAGGTACATGACATTCTGAAAGAAAAGGCATCAATTTTTTATTTTTTGTTTTTCAGTTTTTTATTAATTTTGTAGTCGTTACTGAATTCATTGTAATATTTACGAATGATTAAAGGTATACATATATCCAACAAATCTGAGAGAATTTTGGACCGGTGAGTTTCACAAGAAAACCAATCAAAAGAGAGAAT